GCAAGGAAGTAGTGATAATTTTCGTATCAAAGAGAAGTTTTGTATTCTTAATCCACCTGTTTGCCCTGAGGTTAAAAAGTGGAATACACGCTGGTTAATGGACTATGTACAATCATTGAGTGTATTATAAGCAATAAAAGGGTAAGATGAGATTATAGTTAACTGGATTCGTGGTTAATGTGGCAAAACTGGACCCCTTGTAGACAACAGTTTTGTACTTCAATATTTAAGTTCTTTGTGTAAATAAGTGATTTTGCTGATTGATGTTATTACAGGCAATTTGTGCATAAAACCGATTGCTTTCTTCATCACATTAAAAAATACTTAAAAATTTCAATCAACTCTACGTGCCTTCATCTATATTTTTAATGCTATTTTAATTAAAATATGTATTGATTATAGGAAGACTAAGATATTTCTTGAATAACTACACTCATATTTTAGTAGATGCTGAACTACACTCGTATGTTTAATAGATTCTGAACTACACTCATAGTTTTAGATGATCAACTGCACATATGTTTTGTAAATGCTGAATTATACTCGAATGTTTAGTAAATGCTGAATTATACTAGTATGTTTAGTAAATGCTGAACTATACTAATTTTTATAGATATTGAACTACACTCGTATATTTAGTAGATGCTGGGCTACACTAGTATTTTAGTTAATGCTCAACTACACTCATATTTATAGATGTTCATCTACATTTGTATGTTTAGTAGATACTGAACTACACTCATATTTAAGTAAATGCTCAGCTACATACATGTTTAGTAAATGCTGAACTACACTCATACTTGTAGATGCTGAACTAAACTCATATTTTCCTAGATGCTAAACTACTCATAGTTTTATAAATGCTGAATTATACTCATATTTTAGTAGATGCTGAACTACACTCATATTTTCCTAGATGCTGAACTACTCATAGTTATGTAAATGCTGAATTATACTCATATTTTAGTAGATGCTGAACTACACTCATATTTTGCTAGATGCTGAACTACTCATAGTTTTGTAAATGCTGAACTACACTCATATTTAGTAGATGCTGAACTACACTCATATTTAGTAAATGCTGAACTACACTCATATATTAGTAAATGCTGAACTACACATATTTTAGTAGATGCTGAACTATACTCATATTTTAGTAGATGCTGAACTACACTCATATTTTATTAAATGCTGCACTACACTCATATTTTAGTAGATGCTGACCTACACTTATATTTTGTAAATGCTGAACTACACTCATATATTTGTAGATGCTGAACTACACTCATATTTTAGTAGATGCTGAACTACACTCATATTTTAGTAAATGCTGAACTACACTCATATTTTGTAAATGCTGAACTACACATATTTTAGTAGATGCTGACCTACACTCATATTTTCTAAATGCTGAACTACACTCATATTTTGTAAATGCTGCACTACACTCATATTTTAGTAAATGCTGCACTACACTCATATTTTAGTAAATGCTGAACTACACTCATATTTTGTAAATGCTGAACTACACTCATATTTTAGTAGATGCTGAACTACACTCATATTTTGTAAATGCTGAACTACACTCATATTTTAATAGATGCTGAATTACACTCATATTTTAGTAGATGCTGAACAATACATTATTTGTTAGATGCTGAACTACGCTCGTATATTATTAAATGTTTTATTTCCTGCTTTTTCTTGTACTTTTGTGTTGCCATCTTCGTAATAATAATTCAGCGATTATATTATTTTTACGTAATTATTTCTGCTCAGAATATTACTGAATTTAAAATAGAGTGTAAATTGTCACTGCATCTACCACCTTTAAAATGCTCACTACGTTTAGAATTTGAATGTTGGTTCATCGGCATTTCCATCTGTGGTTTACTTAAGTTAATACTTTGCTAGTATCATGGTTCTTCCAAATTGTTAGATATTTGTTTAATTCAAGTTGCTGACGGTCACATAGTATCTAACTAGGGTGCATTTGCTTTCAATAAATTCAATGATTGTTTATTTGTCCAGATTTTACAGCCTTATTTCATTCATAACGTTTGTCACTTTACTTGTATATCAAAATTAATTCTTTTTTCAGTCAATTTTGTTAGCTTTCTCGGGTTGGCTTTAGGTTGTGTTAATTTTCATATTAATATACGTTAAACATTATTATGAAATACTTAACATCTGTAGAAAGATTATATCAGTGTCAATAATTTGACAGTGTGTAACAATTGCCAAAAAAGAATTAAAATGCCCGTGCAAAATACAAAATGCTTTTACCCCACCCCTTCAAAAGCATTTAATTAATTTTTGTAACTGTTACCTGCCTTTGGCATTCTGGCAATTAAATATTCAATAGGTATATGTTACATGGATTTAGTTTTACTCCGAAAAATAAAGAAACTAAGCCAACGCCATTTTTGCCGTTACTGTAGAAGTATTTGCATAAGATTATACAAATCTATCATTTCTAATTAAGCATAATGCAATGTAATTACTGTCTTAACCAGGTAGCATGCATCAGTCTCATGTGTCTTACTATTAGAATAAAAAAATATGTTTC